AACTTCCGGTCTAAGCAGTTTAAAGTAATGGTTCATTAAACGAACAAAAAGATGTTACATTTGTGTGCCTCAGACTGTGGTGATCAATCTCTCAAGGTTCCTATGTGGGCTAAGAAAAAACCTTTTTATGTAATGTGCAAAATGTCTTCTTCTTCTTCTTCTTCTTTTTCCCTCTCTCCCTATGTAAAAGAAAAGCATAGAGTTGCACCATGTGTGTGTTTTTGTGTGTGTGTGTGTGTGTGGTCTCTTTCTTCTGTATGAAATTTTGTTGCAAAGTTATACAACTTGGAGAGTTGGATCTCCAAATTGTATCATAACTGTTATACAACTTGGAGAATTGGATCTCCAAATTGTATCAAAGCAACATAACTTTAGCAGAAGGAATGGGATAAAAGTGGGCATATTTCATGAATAATTATAAGTAGAAAAGAAGGTGTGTGTGTGTGTGTGTGTGTATATATATAGCCCTCAAAAGAGGATTTTTTGTTTTTTCTTAAATTAGGTTTTTTATTTCTTTTTCAGTGGTGATAATGAGTCAAATTTTGTTTTTGCCTTTCCTCTTTATCTTTTCCTCACGGGGGCCTTTAAAAAAAAAAAAAAAAAAAGGTTGTCTCTTCATTAATTCAGAGGGCAAAAGAATTTCACCTTAAATTATTTCTGTAGTGTAGGCCTCAGCCAACAGAGAAGTGATTTAACACTCTCTTCCTGCAGTGCTTTTTCTTAGGCAAAAATTAACAATTTTATGTCATATCTTCATGTGATAAACCCTTTGCTACTTGTAAGAGATCTATCAAGAAATATTAGGCATGCTTTTAATTAAGCATTTAATTTATTTTTGGAATAAGTCAAATCAAAAGGAATTTGAATGTTGTGCATATATACTTGTAGTGATCTATCTAGTCAAAATATTAGGTACCCTTTCAATTTTAGATTTGTTTATCTTAGGATAAGTCAAATCAAAAGGAATTTGATGATTTGTGTGCATATGTATCGAATAATGCAGCTTGAAAAGGCTTTGAAAACAAGAATTTTGAGAGGTGTTGCATTGGTAGCACTTGTGTGGCTAATTTTTTATTTTTTTTATACTGTTCAATAATGTTGTATCACGTGTTTCCCAATTTTTAACCTCGATCGATGAACCTGATTGTGTAGCATGATTGATATGTGTGTGTGTTGGTAAAGTCTTGGTAGGCAAAGGGTTGATGAAAAAAAGTGAAAACAATCTAACCCTTTGTTTGGTGGTTTTTATTTCAAAAAAAACTTTGTTTTGAATAGTTTTTTTTTGGGAAATATGTGGTTAAAAAATAAAAAATTATTTTACATGTAAAATATTTTATTGTGTTAATGTGTGGTTGAAAATGAATATAAGAAATAAATTAAATTAAAGTATAAAATTTCAAATTGTTTAAATATCAAAACAATATGATACTTTTTACGATGTTAACTTTTCAAAATGAAATTATAAAACTTAATGATTAGAATTTAGAAGTAGGCATAAAAATTGTTTTTCTCTCAAAAGAACGTTGATTATTTTGTCTCGAACTAAAGTTACAATCTTGGGATGAGAAAATTGGCGGAATGTTGAAGGGAAAGCTGGCGATTCGAGCTAAGGGGACAAAGTTGTCTCCTTTGTATTAAAATAGGAACACATACGTATACGCATAATTCCTTCTTATTTGGATGCTTTGCTCTCTCCCTAGCATTACTACCAAAAGGACGAGGCAAATATATGTATATTCGAGACCGATAATCTGTATGTTGTGATGGATATTGTCCGTCGTCGAGATCTTCGCCGCCACCAAAAAGAAAACCCTTATAATTCCTACCTGTGCACTGATAAATAATATTTGCATAGGAGGGAGGAACAAATCACGATTTAGAATTTGATGTAACATTTAGAATTTTTTTTTTGGTAAGAAAAAAAAAGAGCAGACGTAGCCGACAGGGAATTGAATTTGGCAGCACTGCTCAATCGCTCTCATGCACGGGGTTATAGTTTATACAATACACACCAGGGATCATCCCCACCACTCTTAGCCCCGTTCGATTCCATTTAAAATAAATTTTTTTAATGAACTTATTTTCAATCACACATTTATACAATAAAATATTTTACACGTAAATTCAAAAAAAATTCTACTTTTAATCACATATTCTTCAAATAAATCACAATTTAAAATTTCTTTATTTGTTTTAAAAAATAATGAACATCAAACAAAGACTTATTGTTCATCCCAAGATAAGGCTACTGTGTGAGTCAAAGAGTTCATTGAAATGTCGTTTCAATCTACAGTACGTACCAGAAGAGTTGTATGGGCAATGTTGGAGACAAATTTGTATTACTTCTCTTTAACCCCATTTTTTTTTATAGAATTTATTTTAAAATAGTAAATTGATGGAGAATGTAGGGTTAAAAAATAAAGAAAAATTTTGAATTTACGTATAATATTATTTTATTAAATAAATTTTTAGTTGAAAAGAAGAAAAAAATGAAAATCAAACAAGGGTTGAGCTTTGTTTCGTAATCAATTATAAATGGTTTGTAAATTCAGTAAAAAAAAAACATTAATTTATTACACATTCATGATTATTATTTTTGTGACATTCACAGATTCACACATTTGGTAAGTCTCACTATTATTTCTCTTTATAAATAATTTACAAACATCAATTTGGAATGGTTATTCTTAAAAGAGTAATAATTGGAAAATAGAAATATTGATATTCTAAAAATCTAAACCTATATAGAAAATCAAAATCAAGAAATATTAGGTAATATGTTAACTCGTGTCCAAAATGTTGGGACTTCCACGTTAATATACACGGGCAAGCATATGCTCGACTTTCCACGTAAATTATGAATATAGATGGCCAATCACACTCCGAGCCTAAGCCGGACGTAGCTCACAATTATGGTATTGTCACCTTCAATTGAGTATTGATTGTGTTCATCAAATATAAAACTATGTATATGCGAACCAAAACACTACTAATTTGAGGTAAAAAGTTGCAAAGTAACTTACGTGCAATATTTTATCATTAAATGAACAAGTAATCATAGTATGGACAAGGATATTCTCGGCTTAGGCCAATTGTTTTCTTTAAAGTAGTGAATCTTATTAGATGGCATAGATTCCATCCATTGCAAAAGCAAAAGAGCATCATCATAAGCACCCAAAAAGCTGATATACTTACAGGACATAAAACCTAATTAATCTTACATTTGAAAGGAATTATACTGTCTACCTACTGTCTGTTATTCGAGCAAACTCCACTCGTTGTGCCCGCAAATGACGATGAAGAATATTTGATAAGTAAGTGCCTTATCCATAGATTTACCGACTCTTTTCTCTTTTCTTTATATCAGTAGGAATATTTTGACGGCATAATACTTGCATAGGATGCTCAATGTACTCCAAGCAAGCGGCCTGCATTCTTTTGCGAACCCCCAAGCATGTTGACATCTAGAAAGGCCAATATGAAATCAAGAAAATAAGCGTACAATATGATTAAACTCCACCCGATTCTTTTCCTTTTATTCTCCTCGAATTTCACAACCATGCACTTCTTACAAGAATTCACTTACATCTTAGCCATTTGTATGGAGTGGAGTGTTTCTTAGAGTCACACGCACCGGTGTGCGTTAAGGGCTGATTTTATATATGTGTGTTTGGAACATATTCTTTTGAAAGAATGTATTATTGAATAGTAAATTGATGGAAAATGTGTGGTTAAAAATTAAGGAAAAGTTATTGATGTGATGAAAAATATTATTTTATTGAAGAATGTGTGGTTGAAAATGAGTAGAAGAATGAGAATGAAAAAAATAATGTGTACTAAACATGCCTTAAAGTTTAATTGGCCAAATTCTATTTAACCCCCGTTTGGTAGGCATTATTTCACAAGAATGTATTAAATGTGTCAACTCATGAACAGTGGATGGTACCAGCAAATGTCAGGTCTTTGAAATGCCATCCATAATTNCATATTTGGTACACATTAATTAATAAGACTGAACAATGGAAAGGGCAAGATTTTTCCTGAATTGATTCTACAAAATGTACCTCTATGCATTAGCCACAGACATATATTCTCACTCATTAAATGTTATATGGGTCTTTGTTTAACATCAACTTTAACATCAACTTTCCCGTGCTTTATGGGTCTTTGTTTCCCATGTTCACTGCTTGGCGATAAAGACTTGTTTGTTCTATCAATGCAATGGATGAGCTGATGTTGTCAAAATTGTTAATTTATTATTGGAATTCTAGGATTAATCAAACATTAGTTTAAAGGCGTAAAAGTAGCACAGACAAAAAGAAAAGGATAAAAAGAAAATCATCATGAGCTTAATGCAAAAGCAAATTTTCAAGAAATTAAGTAGTTTAAGCTCACTGTACATCTATTACAGTATTACTGCCCACAATGCCAATAGATTCCCAGAACATAAGCAAAAGGTGTCATTTTTAAGTAACACAAACTTGAAGTATTCTCATTTCGACGTATACGAGCAAAATCAACTACTAAGGTAAAAAAGTCACATTACTCTTATTCTTGATACACGTAAAGACATAGTGAGTGTTAACGTTCAAATTCTCAAAAGCTATAAGTCAAAAGAAATTAGCCTAGAGCAACAATTAAAAGTATAAAAAGTTCTTGAATAAAGCTGTTCGTACATATTTAAATTACAGAAAGCATTACACATGATGAAGTGACAATAGTGTATTGACTGGTTCAACTTTGTTTTGTGTCCAACATCCAATGAATGCTTGCCAACTGGCAACCTGTCAAACAATTTGTAAAAGATTTCTGTACATGTAGCATTTCTTTTAAGTTTTTTAGTGTTAATAATCTCGAAACAAAGTAGATATATATATACAAATTTTAACTAGCGAAGTCTCGAAATTAATCTCAAGGTTCAAGATATGAGAAAAAAAATCAATGGCTAAAGCAAAAGAAGAGACAAGCAAATCCAACAACTAATTTACTTCCAGTATTTATTACTGCATGGATTCATCATCTTGTTCAATTTCTGATGCAGGCTCTTCTTCTTCTTCAAGCCCGGTAAATCCATAAGCCCCATGTCCATTTCCAAAAGCCTTAATATGATCTTTAAGGGACCTTTTGTGCTTAAAATCAGAACCACAAATGCAATACCAGAGTTTGCCACAATTTTTCTCATGGGTTCTCCAATCTCCCCTCACTGCAAAAGTTTTTCCGCATTTTCTGCACATAAAAGGCTTGATTCCATGTTTCCTCTTGTAATGTGTTTGAAGTGTTCTGAAATCTTTTAAGGGCTTTGCTCTTGGGTGATCAATATTGTTTCTGCAGCCAGGTTCACAACAATAACAAGGAAGCCTAAGCATTCCTGTTGGCTGAATTCCCCTTAGAGATTCAGGCCCTTTTCTGTACTGTGATCCATGCCCCCACATATGCATCTGCACCATCATAAAAATAACAAATTTAAAAGTTAAATATATTTGTTCAAAAGGTAAATGTATAAAGCACTTGTTCCCGTATATGTTGGACTACTTGAAGCCTAATTATATACTTTACATTTATCCTCTCAACGTTAGCCATTTTTGTGTGCAAGAGATACTTGAACTTGCAGTGGCCAGTAGACTTTAGCACTATAAATCTGTCCGTGTTTTGATCTGATTCCTTTCCGTTGAATACTGCTCTTCACCATAGGAATTACGGCTTATTATCCCTACTATAAAATGCATATTGTGTGAATACATATTAATGTAAGAACGATTATTCTCCACATAGGATATCTTAATTTTTTGGAATGAACAGGTTTGTTATTTACACTTCTGTTTTGTCACTGAACACGAAAATACATAATTAAACAGTCAAAAGTTGTGGTTCTTAAAGTTTCTTTCAAATGAAGAAATCTTGACAGAGTAATTTCCATTAGAACTTTCTTCAAAACTTATAAATTTAAATTCCGGGTTTCCCAAGTGAACCTTATAGCAGTGTGTATTACAACCTTTCCTTGTCTCCATTATATATAAAATGGAAAAAAGAGGAAAAAATATGCCTCTGATATGTAAAAAGCTTATGAGAGATATTGTGATAAGAATTGAACAAATCTGTAGCTTCTTTTACTGGCTGAGATTCTACAAACTGAGTATAAATTCTCAGCCTTTGAAGATTATCTTTAATGCTTAAGCCATGAAAACTGTTTGAAGTTTCAGTTGTGTACAGTTACCAATTTGTGGTGCACAGACTTCAAAGTGTATGCTAAAAGCATAAGGAACATTTTTTGTGTTGTTCCATCACAAAAATGAAGAGTCTCAGTCTCGTCTTCAGTAGGATTCTATCAGTCATCATTCTGAATAATTGAAAATCTCAGAAATATGACCAGAACTGGATGAAAAAGAGTAAAAACAAAACGAACTTTTTACAGATTAAAATTGTCCAATCTTTTTACTGCTTTAGACAACTTTACAAGACTGGCATCTACTAAGAAAATAGGGTAATTAAAATTAGTTGCGATGTTCATCAAAGAGGATTCCGAAAAATAAAATTTAAAATCTTATCCGTTCAACAAACGAGACATTCCCGTAAGGATTTTTTTATAAGAAATTGGGTAGGGTAAAAGGGGAAGCCTTAGAGATTGTGCTAAAACTTACTTGCATGTTGTTGTATCTGTTGAAAGTCTTGAAGCAAACAGGACATGAAAACTGGGTTGGACCTATAAGAATCTGGGAAGGTGTTGGAATCCAATACTGTCCCTTGTTGAGTCTGTTGATGGGGTACCCAGAAAGATCAGCCTCTTCATCTTTATTAGTACTTTCAGCAGTAGAAGATCGCATAGAAGCCAGATCAGAAGCACTAGGGTTTGGTAACCCTATGTGTAGTGCAACAGCAACATCTCCGTCGTCCTCCACGTTGTTATCAGGAGCTGAAAATATGTTTTGGGTTTGACTATGATCTAGTCTGGCTTTGGTCTTGTCCAAATCCATGGTGTGTGAACAAGAAGGTTCTTGTTCTTCGTATCTTGTGGGAGATAGGGTCAGAAGTGGAAGGGCTTCCCTTAGAGGAGGTGAAGGAGGTGGAGTTTCAGGAGGATTTGAAGTGAGAAAATGGTGAAGAGGGTTGAATTTGAAGCACTTGTAGAAATTATCTGAATAGGGATCAGTCATGGTGGAAGGGGGGAAGGGAAAATGGAAGATGGATGGATTTGCCTTTGTAGAGAGAGAAAAGGGAGAGAGAGAGAGGGAGAGAGTAGAAGATGATCAAGAGTGGATGGTGATTAGCTAAGGCAAAGCTTAGCAGAAACATAAAGTACCTAGGCAAAATTAGTAGGTAAGCAAGGAGAAGGATTATGCTTAAAAAGTTAGCTACTGTTTGCTGCAGTCTTTAAAACTTATTTTTCCATAAACACATTTTTAATTACATATTTTTTTATTAAAATAATTTTAAATATACGGACTCATATTTTTTTTACTTTTTAACTACACATTTTTTAAAAAATATTATCTTTTACAAAATTTATTCTGAAAAATCTGCATCGAACATATCCTTAAATTTACCCATTGTCATTGAAGTTTGTGCAAAATTTCAGTTTGATAATTAATGTTTTTTTGACCTATTTAGACTTTAGTAGTCACTATAGTTTATAATGATTTCACCACTAGTCAACATAATGAGTAATATTTTTAATTTGTTCCTTGTTTTATTTTCATTTTTTTAAAAATATATTAATCTATCTTTTCTTTTCAATCACACATTTCTCAATAAAGTAATATTAAATGTAAATTCAAATTTTTTCCTTATTTTATAATCACGTATTCTCTATCAATCTATTATTTCAAAATTCATTCTTAAAATAAAAATGAGACTCAAAACAAGCATTTAATATTATATAATTCATCTTATCCAACATATCGTAAAAAGACTGTACGTTTATATTGTATACTATCTAGAGAGACAACAATATAAGATTTTTTATATATATAATATAACCCTATTTAATTTTGATAAAAAATAATTTTTTTGATAAAATTTCAAGAAATATGTTTTTAAAATTAATTGTTAATTTTAATTTAAATTTTTATAGTTTTTTTCTAAATCAAATGGGGGCGTTGTTGATACTTCAAGTGCAACACCAACACTTATAAACAGTGTTCTAAAAAGAGCGCTTAGGTGTTTAGGCATCGCCTAAGCGCAAAGTGTGGACAAAACGCTTTGCATTGTCAAAAACGTTAGCTAAGTGAACAATCGCTATATTGACCGCTTAATACTCGACACGTTTAGACGTGCTTTATTAATTTTTTTTAAAAAAAATTATTGGGCTTTAGTTTATTAATTTTTTTTCTTTTTCCAAAAGGATTTTATTTGTCTTTAGTTTCGAAATTTTCAATGATTTTATCAAATAAATATTTATATAATATTTAAGTTACGGTATTATCTATATTATATAATTATGATTTTAAAACTTACCATTTTGTTGAAATTTTTTCAAGTATGTATAAAGTTTCTATAAATCTATTAAGTATGATTTGTCTAGTTGAAAGTTGAAATCATGAAAAATATTCTAACTTTTGCATTTCAAAAATTTGAAAATTGTATAATTGACTAATCGTAGTAATTATAGTATTTGATAACTTTAGATGTTTGATATGTATTATTTTAATTATTAAATAATTTTTTAGAACGATTAAATATTTAAAATAATAATAAAAATAAGTAATCTTTTTTTACACCTAGGCATTGTCCAGGCTCATAAAGCTAGAAGATGGACTTCTATGCCTAGTCATGCTTTACGAATACTACTCTTAAGAGAAATCCCAAAACAACCCTAGTAGATATTAGTCCCAAGGCATTATAAAGAATACCCAAAATTTTAAAATAATATTATATGTTGCTTTTGAAACGCCCCTGTTTGGTAATGATTTAAATCAAATTTTAATTTAAATCAAAGTTAAACAATCAATATTAACCACATATTTTATGGGTCCCAAACCATTTTCATCACATATTTCAAAAACTTTTATCAAAATCTAATTTTAATCTCTACCAAACAAGGGCACATGATGTGGAATAGTTAGAAAAGAAAATCATAAATCAGTTGGAAAAGAGAAGAAATAGAAGGGTCTACAAAAATGCCCGTAACTCTCAACTCGGGTGTCAAATTTTCGCGATGGAGTAAAATCTGAAAACTTTTTTCAATTCTCTACAATTTGTCAGGGTAAAGATTAGTTCCATCGTTAAGATTCAAACTTTTAAGGTCAAATTCCAACATTTTAGGGTTCGTTTTAGCATTTTTCTATTTTGAGCTAGTGTAAGAGTATTTTCGTCATTTTTACAATTTTCTAGTCATGTTCGAATTCACGTCCGTTTGAACATCACATATTCGTGTGTTACAGACAAAACTCTTTCATTATTATCCATGTTTCCATCATGTGTCGTTACGCTCCATGCTAAATGGTGTAACGGGTAGAAGGGATTTGTGGCGCTAAAACTTGATGTGAGCAAATCCTACGATCATCTTGAGTGGAGCTTTCTAGCTAAAATTATGGAAAAACAGTTCTCACAACGATGGGTTCAATTGATATTAAATTGCATTACTCTATCTTCTTCTTTTTCTGTGAATGGTAGAGTTCAAGGTAAGGTAGTACCACTACGACGGTGGTGTCGTTATCTCCTTACCTTTTTCTACTTTGTGCTGAGGCATAATTGGTAAAAGTTTTCAATTATTTAGACCCAAGTGTGGAATTACGCTATTAAAATCAACACGTCACTTTTTAATTGTTTCTAAATGATTAGATCAAACAAGTCAATTTATCCTATTTGAATACTACGATCAATAATTAAAGTAATAAAGAACATCAATGATGAACACGGAGAAACCTCAATTGGGTAAAAGATCTAAGCACTTTGCTAGTTAATAACCTACTATAAATCGAAACAACTTACAGTACGGTCCAGACCCGTCTACCCCGTAAACTTCTGACCTCAATTCCTACAGTCTCCCTTGATATTACTGGAGGTGGCTCATTCGAAACAAATCCTGAGTCCTGATTTATACCTTAGTTCTTCTGGACCGCGTGCTCCTGATGCCATATCCCGACTCCTGATATCTCACCTAAGTCATCCTGAATTTGTGCTTCTGCAACAGCTTCCGATCGCTGGTATCGATTTATCTCCAGTGGATTAAATGCTTTGGTGTTTGATCAAAAGATCTTGTCTGTTTTCATCTTATGGTTTTATATAAAATAATAGGGCTTGATCAACAAAATATGTTTTGGAAGAATTGTGGATCAAATAATATGTGGTGGTTGAATCTTGGAATCAATGAATGTTTTGGATCATCAAAGAATTCATTCTATGGAATAAATTTGATTCAGCACACTTTTGGACGTTCATATGTTATGATATATATAGGAAAAAGTATTTGGGATGAAAATGGATTGAAAAACCAAGTGTTTGAAACAAAAATAGAATCCTGGACGTCAACCCGTCGCTCGAGTGTCAAGCTAGTGACATGCGAGTAGTCGTCAGTATTTTTATCATAATTTTCTCTGTCAATGTCCGATTGAGGTAATTCAAAATTCGTTGGAAATCTAATTCAAATGGTTGCAATTCTTTTGGAAATAGCCTCATCTAAGTTTCAATGTTTTCTATTTGAAAAATGCATTGCAAGTTGCGATTGAGAACTTAGAACATAACTTCTACGACTCTTTCACACTCTCTAGACTTCTAAATACATTTTGATGATCATATGTGATCTTCTTGTCAAGGACTATATTACCAACCCAACTCTTTTGACTTTAATTAGGATTGCATAACTCATTTTTTGACTTTGATTATAATTCGATAAACTCCTAATACAATTCAACTAAGACTTGATTTTGATTAAGAAAATTGTCAATTATAATTTGAACTTGACAATCGGGGATTAATAATTGAAGCATAAATGGAGGGACAAATAGTAGGAACGCGATGTGCCATAGTTAATATTCGGGTTTGTCATTTATTTTTTGCAGATGATTCACTGATTTTCATGTTAAGGAGTCCAATTCTAGAGCTTTATTGGACATTTTAACTACATATGAGAAATGTCGTCCACGTATCAAACTTTTAATTGATAAAAAATCAATCCTGTCCAAGCATAAATGTTAGTGTTGAAAATAAAATTTAAATGTATAAATTTGTCCCATTGATAGCGTCAAAGTAAAATCAGGTATATGCCACATCATCTTTCCATTGTCCATGAAGTTTGTCCGGAAGTAATTTTGGACGGAATTCTTTTTTGAAACTAATGGGGTTCTAGACTAAAAGTAAAGGGATTAACGAGGTCTAATATAAAGCTTGGGTACAATTCAGATTCTGTACCCTATACAATACATAAGCAAAGAAGAAACTAGAAAGACGAGGCAAATCTTATTCAACAAAAAAATTGAAACAGAATAGGTCAACTAAGCTGTCGATGAAGATGAATACAGATGTTGAGTTCCAACTTCCAACCAAATCAAGAAAGATATAATTGTTCAAAAGAATGTGAAATTCTAATCTTTGTATGCTTTAAAAGAATCGTGTTCGTCAAGTTGTGTCTTACCTGCCGATAGATTATGCAGCAGTTCGAAAGATTTGGAAATCTTTCATAAATTGTTACACACTGCTTCGTCTCCTGGTGTCTAGGTATCACTTCTAGAGCCATGCTATCTGTGCAAGCGTACTTGTGCTGAAACTAGGAACCATTACGATTTAAAGCAGATAACCAACTAGACACCGTCCTAAAAGAATGAAGGTGAAATAGAATCTTTCACGAGTTTGATGATCAGTCTAGAAACACCAGTCCTATAGAGTAGTATTTCCCCTATGAGAATATAAGAACCTCTCCACAGTTCACCAATTACAGCAACACCTAGCATAGAAAGATCCAAAACACCCAAATTGAATAAGTTAATACATCATTATATAAAAGGACGATAGAGGTGATGTCTCTGTAGATTTCAAAAATGAAACAACATTCCAAATCATGAAGTACCAGATCTTAATTAATATAACAAACATGCTAAAACTACCATATTAGTAAACCAAAACTATAGCTTTTTTTTTGATAGATAAATTAGTAAACCAAAACTATAGCTGAAAGCTCAAGGTTGAGGATCAGATGTTAAGACCATTTGATCTAATGCAAAATGGCGTATAGCATTACAACAAGCTTTCCCATTCCTTGATTGAAGCCAGTACCCTGCTCCCCACAACTACTGTTCTCGGTCTTTGTGCTTCTTTTCTTCTTCTCCTTCTTTTCACTTCTATTCGCATTATCATCAGGTAAAACAGAGTTTTCATTCATCCACGTGCTTCTTCTTTTTCTTGGACTTCCCTTCCGAGATCCCAGAATCCGCATTGGCTTTATCCTTCTTTTTCTTATCCTTTTTCGATTTCTCACCACTACCATCTACAGCATCCTCACCACCCTCTATTTTCTTTTTTTTCTTCTTCTTCTTCTCTTTCTTCTCAACTTCCACAGTCTCGACCTCATCTACCTTCTTCAGTTCAACCTTCTTTTTCACCTGCTCGGTCTCTTCAGCTTCCAAAGAGACCTTAGCTTTTTTAACAACAACATCTGGTGCAGGGCTACCATCAATCTTGTCTAGTTTGCGCTTATACCCCTCCTCTTCATCCTCCTTGTTCTTTTGTTTCTTTTTCTTTTTCTTCTCAACCTCATCAACAGCACTCGCCACATCCATAGGAGCAGCCAACTGTGGCTCTGCAGCTGCTGCAAGGCCGGCAACCATATAGTCACCTCCAGTAGGCAGGACAACATTCCTCAACCACTCAGTGGGGGTATTCTCATTTGGTTTCCCATGCTTATCCAACTTCCCCTCCACAATCAGTTTCTTCTTCATTGAAGCCCTTGGCCCCAACCCCCATTTCCTGGGATACGTATCCCTATCCATTACCACTCTCTTAATCCTTGCTACCGTTCCATGATCGCATGTGGCCATCACCGCAGTTGTCATCTCCGCAATCCCCAAAGCAATTGCCTCACCCTTGGTAGTCATTAACACAATTTCCTCTCCAACCTCAATATCATTTTCAAACCTCAACAACCCCGGAATCATCAACTTTGCACCATAACATATAGCATTCACCGCAGAATCCTTCACCACTAACCTCTTATAACTAGTCAAAACCACTTCCAATGGCATAATTACCCTCCTCAAATAACTCTCGTCCCTATAATTATCATACATCCACTGTGCATCCATAACATCATGCATTGTCACCATGTTATCCTTCTCCCCCAAAATCCCGGATCGCACTCTCCTTAGTTCCTGCATATGCCCTCCTACACCCAACAAAAGCCCCAAATGCACACATAGAGTCCTCACATAAGTCCCTGCCTCACACGAGATCCAGAACACAACCAAATGCCTATCGGCGTCATACTCTAGCAACTTACTCTCATAAATAGTCCTAATCCTAAGTTGTCTCTTCACAGCAGAAATAAGTGGGGGCCGCTGAAAAACAGCCCCCGTCAACGTCTCAAGCGCCCTGACCACTTTTGCAATCTCGGGCACTTTCGAATGCAATCTAGCAATACAAACGTACTCTTTCCCAGCCCCCTGCTGGGATTTCACCAAACGAGTAGCTCGATCAATACAAACAATCAAATTTCCAGTAACTTTCGGGTCCAAAGTCCCGGAATGCCCGGTTTTCTCAACTCGCAAAATGCGCTTAATCCACGCCACAACTTCATGTGACGAGGGGTTCGCGGGCTTATCGAGATTCAAAATTCCATATTTAACGTACTCAAGCAAGGGGCGTTTCAAGGGGGAGTAACCAGAGGGGAGAGGGGTGTAGTGTCCAGTACGTACATTCAATTTGTCGTAATTTTTTAGCAGAATCGGCCACTGGGAAGTGTCAATGGCGGGAGTATAGCTCTGGGGCTTTATCAAGAAATCAGTAGCGTCATTCGTCGGGTTTATCAGGTCGGTAGATTTGCTTTTCTTCTTTTTCTCGGAGTGTGATACCAGAACATCAGCCATGGCTGCGATCGGGGTTGAAAAGGGAGTAGAAAGTGTAGAACTTGGGGTTTTATTAAGGGAGGAGGGAAAAATGCATTTTGCAGACAATCAGGGAGGGTTTAGGGTTGTGGTGGTGCATAGAAATATATCTATTATTTGAATTAAAAAAAATTTTTGATTTTAAAATAGTATTTTTTAAAGAATGTGCTGTTAAAATGTAAGCAAAATTTTGAATTTATGTATAATATTATTTTATTGAAAGAATATATGATTGATAAGAGAAGAGAGAAAAATGAATTAAAATTTAGTGAGGGCCAAAGACGGTGCTTTAGGTTCTGGGCAAGTGAAAAAGATGGTCGGTAGACCCGGTCACTTTTTCACGGCGGTCCTTGACTAGATTTAAGTAAAAAAAATTTAAAAAATAAAAAATTTAAACAAATCACAATACCCATTTTACATCAAATTTGAATCTTGAGAATTTGAAGAACGTTATAAATTTGAAAATCTTTCCAACCATTTCCCGATCTTCAATCTTTATTCATCTTCTCTATCTCTATCACCATTCTTCAAGGTGTATTCATCCATCACCATCTCCATATTAAAGGTTTCTTCATTTTATTTGGTTAAATTTCGAAATTTTTTGTTTATACTATTGATGGATAATGTGTTTTTAGTTTTAATATTCAAAGATTTAAATAAAAAATTCTTTTATTGTGTTGAAAAAATAACAGCGGATCTATCATTTGTTAATGGGATCTGGGGGGTCCGGGTGGCCTGTGGTTTGGAGTCCGAGGGATCCGGGTGAGGAATCTCGCCTTTTAATTTTGAAATGAAGAGTGTTTTTGTCTTTTATTGTGAAAAAAAGGTCATTGAGGTGAATAATTTGTAAGTTAGACATATGTGCAGAATAGACTTTGACGTGGTCGTTTCAAAAATGCGGCTTGAATCATGTTACACGTACAATCTAATTTGACTGTATTAGTTGATAATTCATACTTGACAACATCACGTTCATCCATTTCAAAAACCTTTATTTTAAATCAATGATCGAATTTTGATAACACTAATTATCAATTTATTATTGTCAAGTATGATGGTACAATTAACATAATTGAAGGTGAGTTGTGTTGAACAATAGAGTGGAGATGGAAATATCTGGAGGTATTTTCACTTGGGTAATTAGCACACAACGTCCCCATCTTTCATTGTTATTGTGGAAAGCATCTACATCTTTCATTTTTTGACATTTTCACACTTATTTCCATATTTCATTGCGCAAAATGTCATTTTCATCTATTTTTTCAATTAAAAATTATGAAATAACGAATATACCATTCTCTTTAAATAAAACAAAAGGAAAAAGAAAAAACTAATTGCAACCATAATCCCAAATTTTTTTAAAAAAAAAAGCACAGATGAGTCTGAGATAAATTATTAAAAAGGTAATTAGTACATAATGTTCATACCTTTCACTATTATTGCGAAAAACTTTCATACATTTCATTTTTTGACATTTTCACCCTTAATTACACATTTGATTGCGCAAACCATCATTTTTATACAATTTCTCAATAAATAACTGTGAAATAATGAATATAGCCTTTTATTTAAATAATTTTTTTAATGTCTAATTCTTTAATAATTTAGTTGGAACTCGCTTGCACTTTTTAATTTTTTTTTTAATCTTTTAAAATTTTAAAGGGAATCATTTGTACTTTTTAAAAAAATTAATTTTTTAATAATTTATTGGGGGCTCGTTTGCATTTTTTTAAAAAATTAGGACTATGGTTATAATTAATTTTTTAACTTTTTTATTTAATATATAAGAGTATATTCATCATTTTACAGTTTTTATTGAGAAATTGGATGAAAATTAATAGAAAGAATGGTTTGCGAAATCAAATATGTAATTAAGGGTGAAAATGTCAAAAAAATAAAAGTTAGGGACTTTTTTGCAATAATAGTGAAAGTGTGTGACATTATGTGCTAATTATCCTTTTAAATTTATTGGAGACTATAATTGCAATTAATATTTTCTTTTTTCCTTTTGTTTTATTTATATAGAAGGGTATATTCGTTATTTCACAATTTTTAATTATGAAAATGAATGAAAATAACATTTTGAGTAATGAATGTGAAAATAAATGTGAAAGTGTCAAAAAATGAAAGGTAATGACGTTTTTCACAATAATAATGAAAGGTGGGAGCGTTATATGCTAATTATATCATTTTGGTTCTCCTTAAGCAAAAAAGTATAAGGTGGATAAAAATAAGTAAAATTGTTGGTAAAAGCGCTGCAAAACATTGGCAAATTAATTTGTTCTGTTCCAAAAATAAGTCTACACACCGGCCACCTTCGCTGCATAACTCTTCGAGAGGAATTACAAGAAAAATGTACATGAAAAATTCTCAAGATTTTCTACTTATAAGTTAAAAACTGAAAGGCCTCTAGTATGGGAATTATACTGAGCTGAAGAACAGGCTTTCTGTATTTGGATCTCCTCAAAACCCTTCACAAAACCCATCAATGATTTGAATTTTCCGTCTGCAATTTTCCAGGTAATTCGTATGAAAAATGACTTCTTTTTTATATTTTTTAGCACAATCCATTATTTATATCCGAATTTCATCCGAACCCTTTTGATATTAAACCGTATTTCCCCAAAAGATCATTAATTTTGGTTTTCATTTCAATTTAATTTCCAGGTATATATTGACCTTTTTTTGTTAATTATTTTTTCATGTCTTTTAGCCGTACCGATAAAGAAAAAGAACAGCTATGAGTCAACCACCTGTGGTTCTAGCTACAGCGAGTTATGATCACACCATTCGATTCTGGGAGGCGAAAAGTGGGCGGTGCTATAGGACCATACAGTACCCAGAATCTGTGTGCTCCTCTATTTTTAATATTATTTTTCCAAGTTTAAATTCTGTTGTAATTGAAGTAATTGGTGTATGTTAGAGCTGTCACTAAGTTTGATATTTTACTGAATATGACGATGTGGAGCAGTGGAGGTTTATAGGATGTAATCCTGCACGTGTACGAATTAGTGAATTACCTTTAGAGTGGACACTACACAAGTTTGTGGTTAAATGTTTGATTTTTGGAAGTGGCTGGCTTTTGCCTTCAGTTTTTCACATCATTCTGGCCAAAATATGTGTAGAATTAGCCACTTATCTAAGCTGAAAAGATTGTGAGGAGGATGTTGCTGATTAGGGATCCTTGAGGAGAAGAAGAGCAGCACGTACAAGCCATTAATTTAGAATGATTATTAGCAAAACCTTGCTGCTTTTAGTGGTAAAAATATCTGGTCTCTGGAGTGTGTGGGTGTAGGTACATTGACGTCCAAGGATGTAATGGATCTCTTAGCATTTTTTCTTTTGCTGTTTCACATGGTTGCAACACATTGATGATGCTCAACAATCCAAACTTTTTTGTCTAAGAATCATGTCTGTGTATTGTGTATTGCTTACTTATTTGATGCAAATCTTTGTCATAAAATTTTCTATTTGTATGGTGAATTGTGAATATCATTGCTTCTTGTTTGATGTTGTACATTTATGAACATAATGCAGAAACAACATACCACTTTATAGTTATCTCATGAATCACAGAGGAATATAGATAATTCACGTGTATGAAATGAATTATTTTATCCTTAGAACAGTAAAAGCAAGGTTAATTTTATGAGGATTGGGTGTTTTCTTAGTCAAAACTGATGCATCCTTTTTTTTTTTTTTTCCAAACAGCAAGTGAATCGGCTTGAGATTACCCCAGATAAATGCTACCTGGCTGCAGCTGGAAATCCTCATATTCGGTTATTTGACATTAATTCAAACAGCCCTCAACCTGTATATTTCTGTCTCCTCTTCTGAATTTTCTTTTTATATCTTCACACATTGCCTTGTGCTAAATTTTGTGACTTCTTTGTTAATGTGTCAGGTGATGAGTTATGATTCACACACTAATAATGTTATGGCAGTTGGATTTCAATGTGATGGAAATTGGATGTATTCGGGGTCTGAAGATGGCACAGTGAAGATTTGGGATTTGAGGTACAGGAAGTTAAAGAGATTTTAATTCAAAATTCCATTTTTTCCTCTTATTTGATGTTGATTTAAATCTTCTCTTGCTCTGGATGATGTAGAGCACCAGGTTGTCAGAGGGAATATGAAAGTCGTGCTGCAGTTAATACTGTTGTTTTGCACCCAAATCAGGTGCCCTGTAACAATGTTTTTCTTTCTTTCAATGGATTTATATTTTGGCTAAAAATTTTTGAATTTGTAGGGTTGTGAGAAGGGAACTGTTTCCGGTTTATCAGTGATAACTTATATGTATTATGTTTTTCATGATTTTCAATTTAGTTTTCCGTGGGCCTGTAGAATTAAATCTGATACTCTCCCCTGTGTTCATATCTCTTCTGCAGTTCCAGTTACCTGTTCCACATAATGAGGGCTTTAACTATTTGCTTTATTATAGATATATAGGTTATATGTTGAACTGAGAAAATATTTCCTAGCTAATATTGCTGATATCTTTCTTGCCCGGATGTAGAGAAAATTAGCAGTTAAATGAATCTTTGAGGCTGATTTTTAGAATGGACACAGATATAGGGCTTAACAACATCTTCATGTGGCTTTAATATTGTAAAGAGACTTTAATATTGCATTTCTTCGGCATTACTATACTGTTTAATCATGTTTTCATGGAAAAATTTATTACATGTTTACATCCGAGGGTCAGATAGATTTTATCCTTTTTAGATGTCATAAGATGGCTCTTTGCATTATACTTTTATTGATTTTCAGACTGAGCTGATATCTGGGGACCAAAATGGCAACATTCGTGTCTGGGACTTGACAGCAAATTCATGCAGCTGTGAGTTGGTAAGTTGCAAACGTATTGCCTGCAATTGTACATGAGTTACATAAAAAACTTAGCATACTCTTTCTTTTATTAAAGGATTGCAAGTTTTTAATTTGGTTAATCACTTAAACAGTTAAACCTCACCTATGGTTTGTCTATTATTCAAGAAGACCCTTTGTGAATTTGTAGTTACGGTGCCCTCCCCTTCAATTGTCCTTTTTCATAACATACTCCCCTTGGTGTTTACCATCACCACGTTACTTTCCAGTAGTAGAAGAATCTGACGAGGAATAAAATTTTGAGTACCAGAACCACAGGGGGTCTTCTAGCATAATGAACAAACCTCAGCGGGAGGTGGATGTTACTAACCTTTCAAATAAAATTTGGAGTAGAATACACGTTAAAAGCAAAGCTGTGATCAGGGTATTTTCTCGAGTTTTTTTCATTATGAGGCAGACTCAATCATAGTAATTTATCATCTCATAAATTGTAAAGTAATAGCTTTTCTTGTGAGGGATGGCAGGAAAATTCAATAATGTTTTAAACTATATTATCAGGTTCCTGAGGTGGATACAGCTGTACGATCTTTGACCGTGATGTGGGATGGAAGCTTGGTAGTGGCTGCAAATAATCGTGGGACATGTTACGTTTGGCGCTTGTTGCAAGGGACCCAAGTAACATTTAGATGCATTTAAATCTTTACTTTGACATGGGCTTTACAATTGGTATTTTAATGTGATTTCGCATTCTATTGCAGACAATGACCAACTTTGAGCCTCTTCATAAGCTGCAGGCTCATGATGGATACATCCTTAAATGTCTCCTTTCCCCCGAGTTGTGTGAACCTCATCGGTTAGAATCTAATACTGCCCTCAGGGGCCTTATCACCTCATTGATTTTTCCGTAATTTGTTTTTGGCTTCTCTTGCTTTAATATTCTCCGAAAGTGATATTTGATGTTATTCAGATGTTTAACCTGTTTTTCTCACTTTTCTTTTCAAAATGGTGAGTTTAGGTATTTGGCTACCGCATCTGCTGACCATACTGTGAGAATATGGAATTTAGACGGCTTTACCTTGGAAAAAACACTAGTTGGTATAAATTAGCTCCTCACTTATTGGCTGCAACAGGTCTTAGAGCATGTTTGGCTAAGCTTAGAAAAGTTAACTTATAAGTAAATAAGAAAGTTTAAAAATAAGCTCATGTTTGGTGCCCCTTGTTTTGAAACTTTTTTTGTTATAAAATCATTTTCAACCACACATTCACACAATAAAATATTCTGCACATACACTCAAAACTTTTTCCTACTTCTTAACCGCACATTCTCCTAAATATACTATTCAAAACTCTCTTTTTTTTTTAAAAAAAAATAATGGGGCACCAAACAGGGGCTAAATAATTTTTTTTGATTCGTTATAGTTAGAGGTTATTTATTTTGACATTAAGCCCCTATTTGGTACAGATTCTTTAAATCTCTTTTTTTTCTCACTAATTTTCAACCATTCATTTTCCCAATAAAATAATTTTACAAGTGGAATTGTAACTTTTCTTTACTTTTTAATCACATGTTCTCCAAAATATTATTTTTCACAAAAGCTACGTAGAAAAATCTACATCAAAGAGTCCCTAAGGTAAGATATAATTCCAAAATAACTTTTTTTGCTTAAAGTAAAAGGTGACGTCAAGCATGTTTGGAAACTAATAATTTTAAAACTTTCACTTCTTTTTTCAAGCTTGGCTGAACATGCTGTTAATTTTGTATATCTGTTCATCAGGCTGTATTGTTGATCTTGATGAGTTTTCAGGGCATCAGCGGTGGGTTTGGGACTGTGTTTTCTCAGTGGATGGTGCTTTCTTAATCACAGGTATGCTTTAGAAAGCTTCCATATCTTTAGGTAATGAATAGTACTTGGCTATAATCTTTCTTATAAGGGTAATTGGCGCAAAATGTCCCTACCTATGACGGGTTTTGTAAAAAACGTTCCTACGTTTGATTTTTTGGTGCAAAACGTCCCTACCTTTGCATTTTCTTGCGCAAAACGTCATTTTCCCCATGTTTTAACATAAAATGACCAATATACCCTCATATTTAAATAAAACAAAACAAAACAAAAGAAAAATAAAGAACAAATTGCCCAAACTTTTTAAAAAGTGCAAATAACATACCAAACTTCACCTTCCCAAAACTTACCCCCGTCCCACCGCCGCCTACCGGCCATTCTCAGCTATCTTCCGGCTACCAAAGAAAGCCAAAAATACACCCACCATTGTGAGTCCATCCACAGTTGTGACTCCACCCTCCATTGAAGTCCTCCAACCACGCCAATCGACCATGGAACTCCCATTACCCTGATCGACCCTGGAACTCCATCGATACCATCACCTCCATTTGGCAGCAGCCATAGAACCCCAACACCTTCTCCTTTGGTGGTTGGAGTCACAACACCTTCTCCTCGAATTCCAATCGTCTAAAATTCAAAAATCTCCAGCTTTCTTGGACAACCCAGCTGGTATTCTTGGTTTTTCTTTAGTGGGTTTTCCCTAATTTTCTTATAAACGTATTTCTCGGCTAAATTTTGTGCTAAAACTTATAAGAATGGTGGGGACTTTCTCCGTTGTGGATTCATCAATGGTTGATTCTCATACTTGTTCATGCCTGAGTTTAGATGTGATGCCTTCAAGCAATTTGAGGAGGGGATAATGGATTTTTCCTAGGAATTCAATGGGTAGAAAGCATAGGCCT